TCCAGAGGGTAAATTGACCAGGGATCTGTGGCTGGTTTCTTGGAACCGGACAGAACTTGTTCGGGGTAGGTGGGATTGGGTGCTAGGACCCGCCACCTGTGTATGAGGCCCGGGGCCATCTGGGGCACGGATATTGCTGGGGCGTCAGAGGGGTTTTGCTCGGGAGGCTTCAGGCAGGTTGCTGAAGCGCTCTGTGGAACTGGTTTGTGGCCTGTTTGGAGAGGTCACCAGTCTGGGGGCTGTAAGGAGCCCCGGATTTGAGCAATTCGCCCTGAGCTGACACCCTCAGTTGTGCCCAGACACGGCCCGGTCTGTCACAGCAGGTTTGGTTCCATTATCAACAAGCTGAGCGAACTAGACAGTGGTCACTTACGCTGTCTGCAGCTGGCACGGGGGCTGGGGTTGCTGAGTCCAGTCGCCCCGGGCTTCCTGGGGGCACAGGGACACCGGGACTCAGCAAAGTCTGCGAGGCGAGCTGTGCGGAGGTGGAGAATCAGCTGACCGTGAATTGGGCGCTCTTCCCTCTCGTCAGGACAAGCATAAAATCATTCAGTGGCTGGGGGCTGAGGCCAGAGAAAGTCAGGCTGGAAATGAAGGGGCATTTTTAACAGGAAGAGTCACTGGAACAATTTACCAAGGGGCGTGGCGCATTCCCCGGCACTGGCCCTCCTTTTCCTACCAGCCTGGGCTGCACAGGAGGTCTGACTAAATGTTCACAAGGCTCCCTTCTAGCCTTTGTCCTGGGACTCTGTGGACGAGCAGCAGTAGCAGAGCGCCCCACGCATCAAGCTGTCCTTGTTTCATGCCAGGACATTTCCAAATACCCTTGCCAGTTGGTGGGGGAAGGGTGGGAGCTGGGCAGGCTACCAAGGGCCAGCAGGTAACTGTACAGCTGTCTGATTCATGACGAGGGCATGGGAAGAAGCGGGTGATTTTTTATTTGCTTCTGTGAGAGTGGGAGATCTTCAGCCTGTTTGGAAGTTTTTGCATTGTAGCCTCCTCTCTCCATTCTTCCCCATTGTCTCCCCAAGGTGCTGGGCACAGCAAGCTAGTGGACACATAGAACCTTAATTTCTCAGTGCCTCAGTTCTCCATCTGTAAAATGGGGGTTGTGGTAAATGGGGAGTACTGCCTATAAAGGGTTAAACTCAGAATCAAGAGACTCCCTGAAAAAACCCAGGAAGTGTTGGCTGGGAGCCAGGGAAGCCAATGGGAAGAAAGTGATAAGAATTTTAAACCAGGACGTAGGGAGTGGGGGGAAGATGAATTGAATGGGGCAGGGATACCTGGGCCTAGAATTGGACTGGACCTTGCAAGTACGCATATGTGAGTAGATAGGAAATGTTTAGTTAGACGTAATCAGGTTAATTTCTTTGTTTTGTTGTTTGGTTAAACTCCTCTGTGCTAAGTCTATGTGCCCCTCCCTCCCACCCTCACACACTGTAACTGAAGCTGAATCCCAGGGAAGCAATTCTCTGTGTTTTAATTTGTTTTCTTAGTTACTCTCTAACATCTGGCAATCAACTCTGCTTTATGGAGTAGATCTTGTTTTGCAATAAAATCACCTTCTAAGGGGCAGATTTTATTACCTGGGAGGTAACAGAAGGTCTGCTGAGAGGTCAGCTATCAGAGATTGCAGCTTGTTTTCAAGCTCTCTTGTGGTAAAGGGACTTGGGGTGCCCCTCTGGAAGAAGTTCCCAAGTGATTTCTTCCGGGGTTCAAGAATAAAGGGTTTTTTCCATGTGGGTGGTGCAGTTACCTCCCAGGGTCAGGGAATCTGTGACCTTGGGGAGTTTTTAAGCAGAAGCCTCCAGAAGCCAGGAATTTGTAAGGTCTCTTGGGGGCCCCCAGCTGCACTCGGAGTGCCAGCGTGGGGACCAACCTCGCCAGGGACAATAGCCACTGCTGACATGACCAGTGAGCCACATTCATTGCGGCTGGAGGAGGAGCCAGGCACCGGAGCAGGGAGCCCCACAGAGAGCCCAGCAGGAAAGGAACCATTCTGTCTTGGGAGCAGGGTTTCAACAGGGAGCAGTCACTAAGATCTGGGGCCACCCACTGAACAGCGAGAAACCAAAGCATCAAACAGCTGCTCGTTCAGCCCAGCACCACCCCCAGGGCTGGCTGAGGCAGGCGCCCGCAGAGAGACAGAGCGTGAGCATCATAAAAAGCTGCACCTGAACGCAAACACAAGGGGCCGGCTGGAAGTTGCAGGGCCTCTCCTCAGGGCTTGACTCTGCACTCTGAACGTTCCTTTGCCATACCGCGTGTGTGCAAGAAATGCATCGAGCAATGGGGCCCTGGGACGCGGGGCCGGGCATATTTTGAAATGAGCAAATCCAGCAGAGAGCTTTCTGTGGGCTCCAAGCACCCGTTCCCTCCCCTGGCGTTCCCCCACCAAGCTCCCATGCAGCCCTGGAGAGACTCCCAGATCCTGTATGATGTACTGAGCCAGCCACACCTCCCACTGCAAGCCACAGAGCCACGAAGCTAAGCCTCTGGCCCAGGTTACAGACCCACACAGACAGCCTGCCAACGGGGCTGAGGAGAACTATTTATTTGGAAAAACTCTTTAAGTGGACACGTTTCAGTAAAACAGGCATAAGATAAAATGAGCTGGCAAAATGGATCTTGGTTACAGAGTAAAATAGACGGTGACATTGACGGCATCTCAGCCGTTTCTGTCCGAAGCAAGAGCACCACTGGGAATATGAAGGAAACTTCTCCAGGCCACGCCACATCTTCAGCGTGGCCGTGGCATTACTGTGTAAACATGTAGGGCAGGAATTGGCCAGAGAGGGGTAGCACCTTTCCTTGTCACTGCGCCTTGCAGGGTCTGCTCCAGAACCAAGGGAAGCTAGTGAGGATCTTTCCATCAGCCTCACTGGGTTCTGCATCTGTCAATGTGACCGTGGCCCTAGGCAGACCTTCTAAGGGCGACTTTGGGACACAACCCATCCTAAGCTCACAGCTTTGTAGGACAGGGCAAGTGACCTCTCCCCCCCCCACCCAGGGTCCCCTTCTGGCTTACTTTGTAGGACAGGGCAAGTGACCTCTCCCCCCCGCCCCACCCAGGGTCCCCTTCTGGCTTGTCCCTAGCTCTCTGGGTCCCATGTGGCTGGAGTGAAGCCCTGTGAACCCCACGGGTATGGGTGGAAGTGCAGAGGGGCAGCCCGTGCTGCACGGAGTCTAGCCTGCGGCACTGAGAACCATGTGCACTGTGGGCCCATTTCCCAGGTGCTGAGGATGGTTTTAAGGCCCGTTTGGGGCTGGGAAACAAACTTGCCTGCCACGGCCAGGACCCCACCTCCCTGGCTGGTGCTGGCATTTGAAAGCTGAGCCTTAAACGCAGCATTGGCTAGGCCCTGGAGAACGGGGGAAGCAAAGGGCTTTACTTGGGAAAGCGAGATCTGGGACCGAGCTTGTCGAACGGGGCGAGTTCTGCATGGTCTCTGCCTCATCTGCCTCGCGTCTGGGGCTCGGTGGTGAGTCGAAGGCTGGCCACGGGGCAGCCGCATTTAAGTGCGGCTGCTGGGGGGACTCAGGGAGAGGAAGAGGAAAGGGAGCTCCAAGCAGGGGTAGGGGTGCACAGAGACTCTGGCACTATGGCTTTACACAGACACAGAAGTCCAGCCCATATCGCTAACTTTTGACTTTTTCCGAGACGCCGCAAGCACACACGGCCTGTCCCCGGGCTGGGCGAGGCCTTTCCCTGCCACTCAGTTCACAGCGACCCTCCTGGAGACTGTCTGGTAGAAGACCCCTCGAAGCAGGGAGTTGTAGTCAGGCACTCGGAAGAGGTGGCGCTCCCCATAGGCCACGTCATACTCGGTGCTCTTCCCCGTGACAAGGACCTGGATGTTGGGCTCGTTGACTTGGCTGCCAACCACCACCAGGTAGATCTTGATGCCCGCCTGCTGGGCCTGCTGCACCGCCTGCTCGATGGCACTTTTTGTGATCCCCTGGGAGTGGCCGTCGGAGAAGACCAGCAGCCGTTTGTTGGCATTGGCCCGGGAGGACTGTTGGTAGAGGCTGGTGACGTACCGGAGGGCGGCGTTGATGTCCGTGGCATCGTTAATGAACTCCATGTCATCGATCGCACTGGCGATCATGGTGTAGTTCTGCAAAAACAGGGCTTCCAGCTTCTGCTGGTTCTTGCCGCTGTACTGGACGACGGAGACGCGCACGGAGTCCTCCGAAGGCTTGTCCGCCAACAGGAACCGCTCCGCCATCTGCTTCACAAACTTCTTGGTGGTCTCAAAGTTCCGGCTGCCAACGCTGGCGGAGCTGTCCACCAGGAGAGTGATGTCCGCGGGGCCCGTGAAGACAACTGCACGGAGAAAGCCGCTCGGTTATTCGCAGCTTCTCCGCCTTAAGAGTTCCCCTGCCCCACCTGAGTCCACTGGACTCACGGGCTGTCTGGCCTCCTGCTGCAGGAGACTCGACCAGCCTGGAGTCTTGGCCCCTCTGCTCTTCCTTCTGGGCTTGCCTGGGCTCCTGGGAAATAACCTCCTGCCCCTTGCCAGCTGAGCGCCCTGGCTGGTTTCCTTGCCTGGAGGGCATGCCTGCCGGGCACTAGCAGCCTCCATGCTGAGGTGGAGGGAGGGGTTAGCTCCTTACTGAGCGGTAGGGAAGTTTGGATGACCCCCACCCCCGTTAGAAAAGCACCTTTTCCAGCCGTTACTGCCCCAGTGCCACGGCTTGTCCCTCCCCCGCCCCAAGAACTCGGGACCCAGGGCCATGGTCCATCCTGGGCTGCCCTTTGAGGCAAGGTGTGGGTGCCACTCGGGCCTAGGCCAGGAATGCGCCTCCCGAGCTCTGGAGCAATGCTCAGTCTTCTCCCCTGGCTCCGCTGTCTCATTTCTCCCCCCCTCCCCGTGCGCTCCCCCAGGCCAGCAGTGCAGGTGGGCACGCCGGGATTCCTGCCTAGGACTGGGCTTTGAACCCAGACAGAGCCAGCTGCCTGGCCCTCTCCACTCCGAAACGGTAGCTCAGATTCCCTGGCGCGGGCGGGGCGCTGGGCTCCCTCCGTGCCCCACCCGCCCTCGCCAGGCAGCAATGCTCACTCGGGCAGGTGTAGTCTGGACATTTCTTCTCTGCAAGAGAAACAAGCAAAACAAACCCCTTAACTTGGCCCTCGCTCGGGAAGGGCGTCTCTCGTCTAGACACCAGCCAACACCCCCCCCCCCACAGATAATTCCAACACAT